GTGCCTGGCTCAAGTGCCTTACCTTTTAAGTCCCCATTGGCTGAACATAAAAGGACTGAAAAATGTGGAAATATTTCCCCTTGCCAGTCTTCATTACAACCTTCAGAACAACCTATCTAAACTGCAGAAACCAAGTGCTTCCCTCCAGCATCTAAGATTAAGGTCTCCACTCTTCCAAGTATATGCAGTACAGACACTCCACGTTCTAAGAGGATGGAGGCTGCCCACCGAGCAGAGAGGAGGAAGTACAGAGCATAACCATCCATGCTGTTGCTATGCCAGGCTGTCCTGTGGAATGTGGGCTCCAACTGCCATGGGTGAGCGAGGGTAATGGGAAAAGACGACACCATGACAGGTGGGGAAACTGAGTCTTCAAGTTTGCCACACACCCTCATTTTTTCCAGGAGCAATCAGATAGTGTACTTCAATTTGAAAACCTTATACATCTCGATGTAATTAAGAAATTTCAACTGGCATGAATATGTAATGTACACATTGCTTTACAGATGCCTTTTTTGCCCGACAGGCTGGTGCCGACTTGAATTTGGAAGAAATCCATTTTCATACAAAGGTAACCAAGAGTGACAGGAAATAGGAAGCCTACATCATTTATCTTCTCTGAACTTTAGAAAAAATCAGTTAATTGCTTTTCTAGGAAGCTATTTTGTGGAATCATGGTGCTTCATCTTTCTATTCTTTTTCATGGCATAAACGGCGATTTTAAAATGTCCTTCATGAAAATGCTATGATTAATCAATACATCTTAGATTATTTAATTACTTATTTTAACGAATAAAATTCTGATCAACCATAAACGGTTTCTCTGTTCTTGTAGATGAATTATCAACTGCTACGCAAACTCCTAGGATACCAGAGTCTACTGATTGATATTCAAATTCAGGTGTCTCTTTCCTTACCACTGACTAAGCTATGGGCACCAGTTCCTGGCTTCCTTTGCTCCCCTGGCTTCTCACAGCACTGTCCTATTTTGTGCCTTGCCCCCATCACCTAACATATACATATGTATTTTTTAATTCTTCAAGTTTGAGGCTAAAATGATAATCTTAGTAATGATTTTATATTATTCCATGAGCCAAAGACAGATACACTATGAAGTTAATGACACTTAAGCTTCAGGGTCTCTAAGGTCCTGGTAGTAGGAGGGGGGCGAGCAGCACTATGTTAACACTGTTACATGTTTTTGAAATAACTGCGAGGATGAGATCTTTTCTATTCCTTTATTACTAAAGAAGATCCTGGAGACTATGCAAATTTGAGGTCCCACAACACTGTATCTGCCCCTCTAGGTTAACTCTCTCCAATGTCTGGATCTGGAATTACATGCTGAGCACAAAATATTAGTGTGTGTGTGTGTGTGTGTGTGTGTGTGTGTGTGTGTGAGAGAGAGAGAGAGAGAGAGAGAGAGAGAGAGAGAGAGAGAAACAAAAAATAATTTGCTTCAATTGGAAATAAAATTCAGTGTGCCATGCCCTAGAACATTCTAGAGAGCATGGTTTGGCCATTCGTTCCTCCCTGGTTTCTCACCTAACTGTAGACACCTTTCCAAGGGGCACTCCCAGGGAGACTCACTTAATGAGAGGTGGTGTTCAGAATAAAAGACTCAGCTATAACAACAAAAATATGTTTTTCATTAAACACAAAACTGAGTCGGGAAAAGCCAGCCAAGAGGCAGGTGTATGAGTTAAGGAATTCTCTTGAGGTCTTTAACTTCCACATCAAATTGCACTGGAGTTTTCTGCACTAATTACCTATTATTGAAGACGCAGGAATTACTGCAAATAATTTGCCATAGCAGCAGATAGGGTGCAGATGTTGTAAGGGAAAGAATGAAGAGTTTATAAAGTGTAAAACCAGGAAAAGAAATTCAAAATTTTCCAGTTTTAAAAAATAATACAGAATTGTTTTTCTACTATAAGGGTGATGAAAGTGAGGGAATTTTCCTAGGGCTAAAAGGCCAATTTTAAATTTAATTTGAACTGTAAATGAAAGAAACTGCAAATTAAAAGGTATGTGCTGGAGTCTAATTTATTCAGTAAATGTAAATTTCCTGGAGGCAGAGATTACATCTTACATTTAAAAAAAAAATTTCTCTCATCACATTGCACCTGGTCATTGATCTGATTTTCTTATGAGAAATGTACCTATACAATGCCAAAAAGCTATTTTTGCATGGCCCTCCAAAAAAAACGTTTCCAGCCCCCAAATTTTTTACACTGTGATAAGTCTTGCTCTGCAGCTAACATCTTGAAAAACCATAGTCAAGTAATGACCTTTGGGTCATTTTCTTTGGAAATTTCCCTAGAAAACACCTTCTCTGCCTCACTGGAAATTAATATCTGTACTATTAAGAGGACATTTTCGCACAGGCAGTATCTTTATTTTTAAAAATATTGGCATGGATATTTTTGAAATTGCCACTTTAAATTGTCTTACCTCTTTCAAAAAACAAAAATATTTATTCCCTCAAAAGTAAAATCGGGTTGATAAAATTTTTCAGCTTCTATCTTATGATTGCGAATGTTATTTATTTATTTATTTTTTGTATAGATGGGGTCTCGCTATGTAGCCCAGGCTGGTCTTGAACTCTGGCCTCAAGCAATCCCAAAGTGCTGGGATTACAGGCATGAGCCACCATGCTTGATTGTGCATTTTATCAGAATAGCCTATAAAGATTGAACAACGTACCTGCAAAAGAGTATTTCTTTTTTTTTTTTGAGGCGGAGTTTCGTTCTTTACCCAGGCTGGAGTGCAATGGCACGATCTCGGCTCACCACAACCTCCGCCTCCTGGGTTCAGGCAATTCTCCTGCCTCAGCCTCCTCAGTAGCTGGGATTACAGGCATGTGCCACCATGCACAGCTAATTTTTTGTATTTTTAGTAGAGACGGGGTTTCACCATGTTGACCAGGATGGTCTCAATCTCTTGACCTCGTGATCCACCCGCCTCGGCCTGCCAAAGTGCTGGGATTACAGGCGTGAGCCACCGCACCCAGCCAAAAGAGTATTTCTTAATATTCTCTTGGAATACTGTCAACAAAAACCTGAATTTGAAGGGTAGGAGAAGTTACTACTTGGCTGATAACTGTGAAACAGTCATGTTTTTATTGTGGGAGTGGGTTGATTAAACAGACAAGTGTTATGAGATTCAAATTACAATATTTTTCCTAATGTGCTTTTTACTAAAATAAAGATTGCACCCCCCTCACCAAAAAAAAAAAAAAAAAACCCCACCAATTTTTAACTTTGTTCTACAAATATCACCTCTTATCTCTTTTCTATCAAAGCATGATTGGCCTTTTTGAAATATTCAGGACAAAATATTAGGAAGAGGGCAGGCTTGCTAGTTCAATGTCACTACGTATAGGGGAAATGGAACACTTCCCATAGAAAAGCTCTGATTTCTCTCAGCATGAGCCTCTGTCTGAGGTATCCCCCTCTGTCTGTGGTAACCGAACACCACACACAGCATGTTCTTTCCAATCTGAATCCTCAAAGGGCATTCTGAAATTGTCCAGGTTATTAATGACATACCCAAAAGCCTCATAAAAACTGCACAGTTATCTGCTTAAGGCTTTACTGGCAATCAAAAATTCATCTTTTTAGTTTTAACTAGAGTTTTATGAACTGGCTGTATTCCAAAATAAACAAGTAAATTATTATCTAATAAATTGGAAGTTTCTTTGGTAGATAAAGACCATTTTAACAGGAAGTCAATTGATATTGAAATAATGAAGGGATTCCTGATGGTTGTAAAAGTCAGTGGCCACTGCTCAAGGATAAGCCAGGATTTATTTGCCACTACCAGTCATTTGATGATGATGAATCAAACAGCCTGATGAATTCAGTTTTGTAAGGTGGTATTTATGTGTGTTTCCTACAAACTTAAAAACATAAATGCCTATAGAAATTATACTTTGCTTCCATTAATTCCTTGTGAACATTTTCTATAATCTATCATAAATGTGTAATCGAAAAAAAAGTTATTGGTATACATGTCACTTAATTTTCTCTACAAAACCAGTGTAAACAACTCACAGATTAAAAGAGAGGTCTTCTCTAAAGGTGATATGTTGATCTCCCTATCAGTCCATGGACTATCAGTCCATAGTTCAGAAATGTTTAAGCTCACCCTTGTCAGAAATGCAACATCTGTCAAATCATTGATTTCATTTGGTTATTCAATCAAATTAAGATACAAAGATATTCTGGCCACACTGCTACTCTGTCTGTAAAGAATACGTTAAAAAGAGGAAAAGGCTGAACAGTTCCTAAGTATAATGTTCTAGAACTCACACTTAATTTTAGTTAGTATAACATATCACAGCAAAAAATCTATATGCATGATCATATTTTTTTCTTCATGTACTCTTCACAATCATCGTCAATTCGGAATACAGTCTGAGACGGGACAGGATTTCCAAACCACGTAACAGGATTTCCAAACCATGAACAATACACCATATTCAATGTCTAATAATTAAAACAATTAATTTAAAAACTATTATGAGGTTTACTTGATAAAATTCATGTTAAAATATTTGCAAACACAAAAACGTTGAAAGAGTTTTGGAACTCTTTTACGTAAAAATTTACCTATTTAGATACTAAAATTACAGGCTTTCAGTGCTTTTCTTATTTCTTAATCACTTATTCACTCATTCCTTAATTTTATTTATACCGCAGCGGATACCAGCTGTTCAGAAGAAAATCCTTGAACCATACTGAAGGGGACATTCCTTCCCTAACTAATACATACACACACAACTGCATTTGCCAAAACTTTAAAAACTCCAATTACAATAAATTTGAGATTTTAAGAAATCATTATTTAAATCTACCTCCCCTTTTAGTGACTGCTACAAATCCTACCACATAAAGCCAACCACATCACTGAAAAAAAAGAAACGTGGGAACTGAATTCACAAGGGTCATCACTTGTAACTATGCAGTTGCATGTACACGGTGCTGAGAAATACTCACCTCCCCCTGCTTGGGGATGCTGAACTTGGAGAGCTTGGCCTTGGCTCTGGCTGGCTCCGGCTTGCTGGAGGGAACTCCTCTGTATGATGTGCAGTGCACGCTGGTTTCCGAAGATGACTTCAGCTTAGGAGACTCATCAGGGGCCTGATCTTGGCCGTCCATCGGCCGCACATATGCAGTCGGTTTCTGCTGAACCAGGCTGGGTTTTGAAGCTAGGGATGGAGGAAAGTTCTGAACACAGTGTCCACTGTTGCTGTGCTTGGCTGCCATGGCAGGTGGCCTCTCCTGGGTCTGAAGGCCCACCTCCACATTGCACACTTGTTTGGCCCGCGGCTGCTGTCTGCCAACACCATCTCCAAGCAAGGTTCTGAGAGAGCCCTGTTGTGCTGAGTTGGAAGAAGAAGAGGAGGAAGATGAGAATGAGGGGCTCGGTACATGGGGATATTCTTTTTTTATTATGGTTCTCTGGGTTTTAGCAGATTTGTGCAAATCAAGCAACCTGTGGCCATGCTTACCTGCTCTCTGTTGGCCATCTGAGGGCGGATGCCCAGCCTTCTGCCAGCCCATGGTGCCTCTCTTATTCTGCTGCACAGGGACAGCTGCTGGTGTGGAAGTTGTAGTGCTACAGATAGATGAGGGCTGGGTCTGGGCTCTTGAGTCTGCAACAAAATGTTCATCAATCTTGTTCACAGGAGTCTGAGGAACCCCAGGTTTGGGAACACCAACGAGATGACTCTGATTGGATCTATCAGTTAAAAAGTCTTTCATTTCATCATAATTGCCTAAAGTGTTCTGGATCCGATTAGAGAGTTCATCCCCCTTGTTAGTCTGGAAAAAAAAAAACACATCCACACTATTGTTAGAGACAACAATGGACAAGTGCCCTTATCCATCACAGAGCCAGAGGTGCCACAAGTGGAATGAGATCTGAGAGGTAAAATTGAAATCTTTATCGTTTCTGAACATAGACATCCAAGCCAGCCCTTGGAACGGCACCAGAATAGGAAGCCTGTAATGGCCTTGGGGTGCGTGAAAAGGGATCTATCCGGCTGGGCGTGGGGGCTCACACCTATAATCCCAGCACTCTGGAAGGCCGAGGCAGGTGGACCACATGAGGTCAGGAGTTTGAGACCAGCCTGACCAACAAGGTGAAACTGTGTCTCTACTAAAGTACAAAAGTTAGTCAGGTGTGGTGGCGGGTGCCTGTGGTCCCAGCTATTCAGGAGGCTAAGGCCAGACAATCATTTGAACCTGGGAGGTAGAGGTTGCAGTGAGCCAAGATCATGCCACTGCACTCCAGCCTGGGCAACAGGAGACTCAGTCTCCAAAAACATAAGGATCTATCCTTGGTCTTGTGTGTGTTGCAGCTAAAACAGATTGCCTGGAAAATCAGGAAAATTAATTATTACAACTTTAAAAAATGATCTGCATTAAGTCTTTCTACGATTGGACTGTCTTGTATTTGTAGTCCCATTAGAAGCTTTACTTGAAAATTCAGATTTCGCTCAGGATTGGTCTAAATATCATTCTTGTCAGAAATCCAGAGTGACAGGCAAGAGATGTCAATGTGAAGCTTAAAGGAACATGGGGCTAAATGTGCAGGAAGCCTGAGTGACCCAGAGCTCCATGCAGCCTCATATATTTGTGAAATCTGGGACATTTCATTTTGGAAGAGAGGTTATGTTTCTGGCCTTTGGTAAAAATGAGAAATAATCTTAGTTTCTTTCTCATTAGCCCTAACGGTACTCTAATCCTAACATGATCCACACATGACAAATAAGTAACCCAACCCTCTTGTTTTTTTTGTTTTTTTTGAGATGGAGTCTCACTCTGTTGCCAGGCTGGAGTGCAATGGTGTGATCTTCGCTCACTGCAGCCTTCACCTCCCAGATTCAAGTGATTCTCCTGCCTCAGCCTCCCAAGTAGCTGAGACTACAGGTGCCTGCCACCACACCTAGCTAATTTTTGTATTTTCTTTGTAGAGACATGCTGGCCAGGCCGATCTCCATCTTCTGACCTTGTTATCTGCCTGCCTCGGCCTCCCAAAGTGCTGGGATTGCAGGCATGAGCCACCGTGCCCGGTCCCCAAGCCCTTTCTAATAGCGTTTGTTTCCTACAATCCAAGAAAACTTAACAAATGGGATTGACCTTGATATGTCAACACAGAGATAAAGTCTGTATTATTGACAAAAATCACAGCAAGCAGATCTCAATAATAAACAAAAGTTGCATTTTACTGAAGGAGTAGCCAGTAAAGGAGTGAACCAGACACCTCGATTTCTGGGGGAAGACCCTGTACTTGGCAGCTGAGCTGTCTTCCCTGGGCTGAACAGACAGAAGATTCAGTGAAGTTTGGTGGGTCAGTTCTTTCCGTCGAGGCCACCATCGCAGGGAGTGAGAGGAATAAGTGAGAGATGGAAATGAACAACTGAAAACCATCTACCTTGTAGGGCTCACTGAAGAGAGAGTAACTAGAATTAAACGTGCCATCATCTTGTTGAGTTTCTTGATTTCTTCTTTCTCTTTCTTTCCTCCGTAATGCATTTCTATCTGGTTCATAGACACTGCATCAGGAGAAGGAAGACAGAACAACCACAGGCACAAATTAAACTCTAAAGCCCAATGTGACACTCATATAAGTGCAGAAGTCTGGTTCATGGACAAATGATGATGACAAGAACATGGATAAGACTGAAGCCAGCGTAATCAGGCAGTGTGCTGGGGTGTCTGACAATTACATTCTTTGGGGGAAAAAAGGATCATTAGGACCAGTTCCAACCAGTACTAGGTTTCTTTTCCTAGTATGTGAAAGAGGAACTATCTAAGCAACTCTGACAGGAGAAGACTGAAAGTAATCTTAAGGCAGACGGTAATTACGGTGATGTGTAAATAGAAATTATGAGCATACTTCCTCTATGACAGAGACTCTGAGTGTTATACGGGAATGCTCCTGCTCTTTTTTTTTTTGCATGGCTGTGTTTCTGTAGTGATTCTTTCATTACCTAGCTCCCTAAAGAGCTGTTAAAACTCCATGCTGCAGTGGTTTTCACAGTTATGAGCCTTCTTCTGATCTCTGTTAATCAGTCAAGTCGTCAAACGACTACTGAATCAATTCTTTCTTCTGATATATTTGACACTATCAGTCCTCCTAACTATGAAAAATGTGCCAGGAGGAAGGGGTGCAGGCAATGAGGGGAGAGAACGGAAATTGAATTATGCTGTGTCATCTAGTAACTTGGCCTTTTGTTGAAGAAAATTAATATCTATTCTCTCAAAATACAATTATGAAGTGGCCAGGCACCAGACAACTGGAAAAAATGAGAAAGAAATAAAGTGTTCCTTCCCCCTAATAAGGAGAAAACAAAGGGGCTAATTCAACTAGTGATGAGGAAGTGACCTGTTTACTGAAGGAAGGAAATGCACTTGTTTTTCTGTCTCCCTGGATAGAGAAATCTGGCCTCTATGTAGACAACAGAACCAACACTACCAATCGGAAAGTGCTCACAGATCCCTCAAGATGAGCTCTGTCTTTGTTTCCCAGCAGAAGCAGGTGGGTGCAGTGATCTGGCCATCACTGTGCTTCCAGCTTCCACTTGGTCTAGTGGGCAGATGCTAAGCTGGGAGCCAGGACACCCCCCTACAAAATGTGGTTCTCCCCAAATCAGTGGCATGGGAATGGTAAAGCCACTCGGTCTCTCTACGCCCTAGTGACTCCATTATAAAGCAAGGGTGTTTCAAGGCATTGTTACAAGGCTTAAACATGAAGGTATTCTATAAAATGGCTTTGGAGTAGCTTTAGGTGCCACAAAATCCAATGTATTGCTAATAAAATATTGTTAATAATAAAAGGATCTGTGGGTTCAAAGGAACTTATGAAAACTGTGATTTTTTTTTAAAAGCTAAATAACTATATTTAGTAAAAGAGAGAGTATTTATATCATATAGCTGTAGGGGACACACGAATTATTGTAAAATAAATATTGCTTATCCTAGCTCTGCCCGTGTGGCTGGGATGCACTTTGAATTTGCTGTCTAAGGGATGATGCAATGCTAAACATGCTTCTGGCAAGGCTGTTGCAGCACCTAAGGCATTTAATTTAAATTTAAGATTAGGAAATGTAAAGATATCCAGAACATGGAGCCTATTAGCATTTTAATTCATCCTTAGTATATTACCCACAGTTATTAGATTTGGGAGTCCAATCAGTGACCTTCATATAAAGGGGACTACAGCCTCTGGAATCTTCTACCAACTGAGAGGCTCACAGCTCTGACATCACAATCACTGATCACTAAGAACTCTCTCAGTGGCTGCGGTGACAGTGGCCAGCTCAAAGAAGGCAGGAGATGGGAATGACACTCTTATTCACAGAACTTCTAGTTCCCAGCAGAGGGTATGATGGTCCTGCCCTACTTGTGGATATTCGTAATAGGAAACCCCAGCTTTCATGGATTTCAAATGGAGACTGCTCTGAGGACATATGACCCACCCTGTGGATGGATATGAAGCAGTCTTTAATCAACAGGAGAATTCTGGTTTCATTATTAACTCCTAGTTTTTGAAACAACATTGACATGTGCAGTTAAAAAACAAAAAGCTTGCCCAGCATGCATCGTAACCCTTCCTTTTCCCGTACATACAGGGACTCCCACACACATGCTTGCTGCCTTCAGTCACGTTAACCCAACCAGACACAAGACAGGTGTGATGCACAAAGTGGCCTTATGTAAGATGGGGCAGGCAGGTGGTCATTGAGAATGATTTCTGGGCTTCTCAGAAGGCCCCCATGCCCAAAATAATACCTCCTGCATCTGCTGGCTGATGACTGAAATTCCACAACTAGAGAGTCATTCCTCTGGTTTAAGATGTCTTCACCCCTGCAAGAAATATAAACACCACAAGAAGGAGAAACACTTTAAACCTGATTAGCCGTGAGTATCTTAGTGTGCATTCGTTTGTCAGCATTTTTTCCAGAGGCCAAGGGGAAAGGGTCCGGAATCTCAGAGGGTCAGAATGAACCTCTAAGGAGGAGGCATATTGAACAAAGGAAGGGACAACAGTCGGTGAAGCCATGAAAACAGATTCATAAACTCCATTTATTTTTCAGTGTGGCTTAATTAAGACAAAGGCAATAGGATAAAAAACAAAATCAATTAGGCAGATATCAGAGCCAATACATTTCCAGGGTCTGGAAATTCGTTATGAGTCATGTCCTACTCTAAAGAAATCGGAGATGAGAGGAAAGCTGCTCCTCTTTAACTAAATCTGCCTCATCCCCCAACCCCTTTAAGGTGAAAGATACCCAAAAGCACTCCAAGATGCTTTCTAAACCATCCAGATTGCAAGATAAGCACTTTGGGAGGCCAAGGCAGGCAGATCACGAGGTCAGGAGTTCAAGACCAGCCTGGCCAACATGGTGAAACCCTGTCTCTACTAAAAATACAAAAATTAGCTGGGAATGGTGGCGCATGCCTGTAATCCCAGCTACTTGGGAGGCTGGGGCAGTAGAACTGCTTAAATTGGGACCCAGGAGGTGGAGATTGCAGTGAGCTGAGATCGTGCCATTGACCTCCAGCCTGGGCTACAGAGTGAGACTCTGTCTCAACAACAACAACAACAAACATCCACTAATGAGGTTCTGCCTGCATAATCAGTCTACAGCTCCTAATACTAAGAAGGAGTGAACACCCTCAGGACCACTTACTCATAATCTACTAATAGAAATCCACTAGCCATCTTTTTAGGGGCCCACCATAATGCTTGTGCCATGCTTCCACACCATAAGATGAAGCCAGAATGACCCAAAATGGTAACATCCCCACTTCTTCAAAGGAGAGGAAAGGACTCAAAAAGAAAGGCAAAGCCTTCCCTTTGGTTTTTCTCCTCCTTCCTTGGTGGGCAGCTCTGTAGCCTCCACTGAGCTACTTCCTAAAACTAACCAACCCGTTACTTCTCTTTAACTAGAGCCACAAGCCCCCCACCACATGTTATTTCATGGCTAGGGAGCTAAAATGTCATTTGCTTAAAGCAGATGTCACTGCAAGAAAAAGGCTGGGCTTCCTACCCCCTGTATCTCCCTCAGTGTCTGAACTCTCACCTTTCCACCAACACTAAATGTTTTGACTCATAAAGACAGTATCTTCTCAACAGTGAGCCCCCCATTCCACTAATTACAAGTGAAAATCGTGCAGGTGCTCACCAGCCTGCAGAGTGCCTTTCTCTTCATCTCTTGCCATGAAAGCTTAGCTCTCTTTGTCCCTCTGCCATTTGAGCAATGTGAAGACCATGCTTTAAAAGCAAAAAAAGCTTACCCCTGACAAGCTGAAAGTCAGGTCAGCTTCCCCTGGGATGGCTGACTTAGGTCTAAGAGAATTCCGGTTCCTGGCATGCCAACATATATGTTAAACTCAAAAAGTGTCACACGTTATCAGTTATGTTTCTTTGTCACTAGCAGATGATAAAAACTTCTATCATCTGTAAAGTTGTTCCTATCCCATAAAAATTACAAAAATCCCATTTCTCAAATGTATGTCACCAAATGTATTTATTTATTTTGCATGAAAGTGAAGGTAGCCAACTGCTTCAATTTTACTTATTATTTGTTGCAGATGCATAAAATTCCCAGAAAATGAACCTTTTTAATCAACTCCTTTTAAAGGGACTATTTTCAGATTTTTTTTAAGGAATAGCAAATGAAAAATGTAGTAAAAACATTTTTTATCATTTCTCACTTAATTGTTTTAGATCTATAAACTGAGGTATCCTGTAGAGCTCAAGTCAAGTCCAATTACGGTGGTTAAGTAGAAATAGATGTCTAAACATGAAACTGTCATCATTTCCAAAATTATTCTTGATCATATGTTAATAGCAAGAAGTTAAATAACAGTAACGTTTATGAGCCTGATGGCTTTTCTCTTCCACTGAGCTTAAAACGTTTCACCTATATGTCCCTTAATTATCCTTACAATGCCCCTTGGAGAAAGACAGTGATGGTGAATATTATGACTAGGTTAACTTTTTTAAAGATCAAGAAACTTAGGATAAGAGTTTGATCATCAAAACAATGTCATAAAGAGACATTGTGTAGAAGGAACAGCAATGTCCAAAGCACCTTACTCAGCTCTGCCCAGAGAACAGGAGCTACCCTCGAGCCAAGAAATGGCCACACGTCCTAAACCCAGGTGTCTACAAGCCCAGCAGTGAGAAGTAGTCAACATGAGCCCCACAGAAGCAAAACAGGAATAAATGAAATAAGGCAAGGTATTTCCCATTCAGACACAGAGAACCATGAGAATAATTCTGGAATAAAGTCTCAGCTGTTATAATGTTTTACAGCCCCTACTGACAGAAGACAGAAATCAGTCTCTTTCCACAGCACACACACAAAGGAGACCCATGTAACCTAGGACTGTGGAATGGAAGATAGAGGAGTGAATACAAAAATAAAAATGGTAGATTCTAAAGCTGCCCAGCGAGGGTTAATGATGTCACTATTTTTAATCAAATGCTACCCATTCATCAGCCTGCTCCAATCTCCAATCTCTCTCTACGCTGCCTACCGGTGAGAAAGGTGTTGGAGCCAGGACAGTTGGCCCTCTAGACGAGCCACAGGTTGATTTCAGCAGACCCAGCCAGCCACGGGGACCACCTCCTCCCCACTGCACTCATCCACATGCAGCCTGATGAAATCTGAGCACTCACTCTAAATAAACTGCATTTCCCATGGAGAAGGCTTTTAGGCAAGGGTATATGAAGTCAATTGCATCCCCTGTCTAGAATCATCAAAATGTTTTATTCTTATTTTTTAAACATTATGCAAACTATTGATGTGTCTCCTCGGTTGTGCGGGTCTAAGAAATAAGTGATTCAATGAGAAGAGAATGAACCACCTCTCACCTATCTTTTGGAACAAGTTATCATGTTTTCCATGTTTTAAAATACTGTCCTTTTCAAACAGCAAAAATACAATTCACTTTTACCCAAAAGCATTTTCTGAATGCCACTGTGTCAGATGCTGGGGAGACAGGGCCGTGGGGCGGTGATTGAGCTAACCTGCGAATGAGAAGACAACAGTCTCAGGGCAAGGAGAATGGGGAGAAGGGAGAAGGGGACCTATTCACAAGCAAACAATGAGAGCAGGCTGTGGTCAGGGCACTGGCAGGGGTAGACAGGGAATCCACACGGTTTCCAGCAGGAGACCAGCTTTCAGCTGGGTCTTAAAAAAAGGGCAGGTTAAGGAGAGGGAAAGGAAGACAGGATTAGAGGTACAAAATGGAAGGATTACTAGTAAGTGGCCTTTGGGAGTATTCTGAGGTTACTTTACCCTCTCCATACTACCTATGGCTTTAACAAGGTAGAACTCCCCATTTAAAGTTTCATTTATGTGGTTTAACCACTGCTTACCTGTCATGGCTACCTCACTCTGAATAGGTTCCTCTGATCCCTTCCTAAGAGCAGATTTGGTTTGGAGCAAATGCATGAAGGGTGGATGCAGAGGAAACAGAGAAGTACTCTTTCCCTTTTTACAGTTTGCATCAGGCTGGCCCTAAGCAGCCTACCCACAGAGAAGACAATCTTTTCAGATACTGTGAGACCTGGGACAACACGCTGACATGCTCCGTAGGCATGGACTTGGAGTCATGAGGGTCAGCAGGAAGAAGGAGAGAAGAACATTCCCCAGAAACTCTCCTGCTTTCCAGAGCACCAGCATAAGCAACTGTGTATAATTAAAGAAATTTAATCAAACATTCCGAATTATAACAATTGTTTTAAATTTAATGAGTCAAACTAATTAACACCTCTTGTTATTTACAAAGCAAATGATCAAAATCAGAAATTGTTTCTTAAATTAGAGTAAAGCAAGGTTGCTGAAGTGTACTTGCAAATTCCCTTCTTAATCTATAGACATAGCTGGTGGACTGAAAGGCAGAAAGATAGTCATAGAGAGAGCATGGGACAGAGGCAGCTCAGACAGAGAGAAGGTAAGGCTGGAGGCAGAATGTGGTAAAAAGGCAACAATCTCCCAACTAAAGTCTTTTGAAGCCCTGAATTGTTGTGGTTGTGGTGCTATAGGTGTGATGGTGGTGACAGTGGTGGTGATGGTGACAGTGGCAGCAGCAGTAGTGGTAGTGGTGGTGGTGGTGGTGGTGGTAATGGTGATGATGGTTATGGTAGTGGTGGTGGTGGTAGCAGTGGTGGACATGGTTGTGGTGGTGGTGGAAGCAATGGTGACAGTAGTAGTGAAGGTGGTAGTGGTGGTGATGGGTGATGGTGGTGATTGCGATAATGGTGGTGATGGTAGTGATGGTGATGGTGGTGGTGATGGTAGCAATGCTGGTAGTGGTGGTGAAGGTGGTGGTGGTAGTGGTAGCAACAGTGATACTGGTGGTGGTAGTGTTGACGGTGGTTGTGATGACAATGGTGATGGTAGTGGTACTGATGGTGATGGTGGTGATGGCAGTGGTGGTTGTAGTAATGGTGATAACAGTGGTAGTGGTGATAGTGGCAGCAATGGTGGTGGTGGTGGTGGTAATGGTGATGATGGTTGTGGTGGTGGTGGCAGTGGTGGTCGTGGTTGTGGTAGCAATGGTGACAGTGGTGAAGGTGGTGATGGCAGTGGTGGTGATGGGTGATGATGGCGGTGATTGTGATAATGGTGGTGATGGTAGTGATGGTGATGTTGGTGATGGTAGCAATGGTGGTGGTGGCAGTGGTAGCGATGGTGGTGGTAGTGGTGACAACGGTGGTTGTAATAATGGTGATGGCAGTGGTGGTGATGGTGGTAGCAGTGGTGGTGATGACAGTGGTAGTGGTAGTGGTGGTGGTGGCAGCAGTAGTGGTGGTGATGATGGTAGTGGTGGTGGTGACAGTGGTGGTC